TGAGTGGCAACCTAACGACTAGTTCTTCACCGAGTCTATAGCCTTGAATAGTCAGTCCAGATGAGAGGAACGCAGGTTCTTTACCGCTGCAAAGATGAGGGGTAGTGTCCTGTACAATTAATCAGTCCGTCTCCTTCAACACTTCTCGTTAGTTGGCAGGTGACCCGAGCTGTCATTCCAAGCTGGAAAGAGAGACAGGTTACCCACTGCTTAAGAAATCACTCTCCATGATAAGTGTAAGATACTTAAAAAAGGTGGAGATTATCTAAAAGTCTTATGTGGAGCTTAAAACTGAAAGGACTAAGTTTATTATTGGTCAAAAGTGAAGGTTTCAACCAATATCCACTAGAATAGGAGCAGAGGCTTTTACTTACAGTTGTGCTGGAAGCTGAGAGTCGAGTGATTACTGTTTGGCCGGAGCCCCACACGTCACCTTTCGGGGTGGGGAGAAAGGGGGGGGGATAGCGGGAGCTAGACTGACCCTACCTTAACAAGCAGCCGACAATCAAACTATCATTACCATATACTCGCTCGCTACTCCTATCCGTCTCTGCATTGTTGTGGGCGTTTCCTTGTATGTGCACAGACGTAACACCTCTTCTGAGCCTTTTTCTTGAAAGCAGTAGCAGGCAGTTTTACCAGGAAGTGATCATCATGCTTCAGACGAGAAGGTAGTTGTTGATAATTTGGTGGGCGGTCTATTGCAGATGTTCTTCCTTGATACTTGAATACTATTTGTCTGATGACAAACAGAATTCGCCGTATTGTGGTTTGTTTCTGGTCCTCATCTTATACGTATTATAAGCATTGAGCATGGAAATGTCCAGAAGATAAAAAAAAAAAGTTTTATGTACCACTTATAACTCTTGCGAACGCAATCAGCAAACCCAATCTGCATGTCACATTTGTCCACTGAATGCATATTGAAGGTGTAATCAATCACAGCTGCAGGTTTTAGAATGGGTTCATTGCTCTCTCTATGGTGCCTGCCAGTGTTTGTCATTTCATTAGGGTGAACTGATGACAACAGTGTGACATCTCGTTTGTCATGCCACCGAAATGCCATGATGTCATTGGCAGCAAATGCCTGCACCTCGCCTCTACGAGCGCCAGCGTCAAACCTGGGCATATGTTTCCGATTTACACGCACTGTGCCACACACATCCGTCATGTTCACTCGCAAAAATATCACTGAGTGAGGGGCTTGTGTACCAGTTATCAGTATATAATATATGCCCCTTACCAAGGTATGGTTCTATCATTGTTCTAACCACATCACCAGAGATGCCCAATAACTTCCTGGTATTTTGCAATGTATAACTTCCAGTGTACACAATAATATCCAATACCAGACCATTGTAACAATCACAAAGCACAAACAACTTTATAACAAAGCATTTCCTCTTGCTTGGTATGTACTGCTTGAGAGAGAGTCTTCCTTTGAACAGAATCAAAGACTCGTCAATTACAAGCTTCCTGAAGGGATAAAAATACATACTGAATTTCTCTTTCAGATACACAAACACATACCTAATCTTATATAACCTGTCATTTCTGTCAGGCCTGGTTTTGTCTGAGAAGTGAAGCATACGTATCATTAGCACAAATCAATTCACTCGCATTATATCACTGAAACCTGGGTTTGCAATCAGGCAGTCTGTTGACCAGTATGATTTCACTTTGTGCTTATACACATGTGGCATAAGCATTATTGTGGCAAAGAAAAGATGCATCTCAGCCACAGTTGCCTCCTTCCACTGGTGTAGATGTGATTTTGGTGAAAGTATTGCGTTTGCCATGGTGTACTCGTAGTATGTGTTGCTTTCCATGACAATACTTTCCATCAGGGGTTCGTCAAAGAATAACTCGAAACATTCCAGTTCAGTGGCATTGTTCCCAAGTGTACAAGATGGCCGTATTCCACTTTGGCTGTCATCAAACTGGTGGGTATTTGGAACAAAATTGACAGCTTCCTGCCAATCCCAGGTGCGGTCTGCTGGTGGGTACTGGACAATGACAGGTGGTTGTGGAGGTTGTGGTTGTGGAGGTTGTGGTTGTGGAGGTTGTGGCTATGGAGGCTGGTGTGGTGGGTGGGTGGGAGATGGTGGCCTTTGTTGTAGATCAGCTGAGGCAGCGGCGTGGGTGGCAGCATGGCCCACTGCTGGTGCCTCACGCCTGTCACTACCACCACCATGCACATTTTCCATCCCAATTGCAACACTATCATCGTCATTTTCACCGTCTGTTCCTGTTGTACAGCCACGGGATGTACTCCGAGATGTACTCCTTCCCCTTGGAATAGCATATGGCACACTACCAGAGTGCATATATCGTCGTATATACTGACGCTTCACTGGGGAATATTGCACTTCACTATCACTACTGGAACTGTTTTCAAGAGCTTGTAGTTCATAATCACTATCATCACAAATGCTCACATCTGAGTCTGGGATTTGAGAAAATAGGAGTTTCCTCTTTGATTCTGGTACAACTGAACGTGAACAAGACGGCCCAGCACCAGAGGTGGAAGGCTGAGGGTCGTCTGGGTTTTCCTCACTATTACCAATATTATGGTTATTAGTTTCGGTCAAAACTTCACCAAAACCTTTAAACTCATCTTCACTGGCACTTCCATCTGTATTAGAACTGTCACTGGGGAACAAGAGTGTCCCAATTCACTGAGGAGTGAGGAACTTCTTACCGCGAGGCATGGTGGACATTGTGTACTAAGATGGCTTTCCCACAATGCACCACTGGGTCCCAGATTTTTTTTCTACCGCGCACACCGACCACACAGACCCATTCTCTCACATCTAGGCCTACCAGCCTTTTCCCGCAAGATTTGACGGCACTAGAATTTATGCTTACTAGTACGTCAAAAACCCCTGCGCGTAAGCCGTACTAGTACGTTCGAAACCCTCAAAGTGTTAAGAGAATCTTTGAAGGCCATTTTCAGGCCAATACCATCTTTGATTTTGTCTTATACAATTTTAGCATTGCTGAACAGTGTTACTGTACATATTTAAAAATAGTTTTATATACTGAACCACCATCATTTTTAAGTGGTTATTTCAGTTATTTTAAATCAGGAAAAATAATTATTGCATCAAACTAGAGGAAAGTATGGACAAGTGTCTAAAATATCCATTGGTATGCTGAAGGTTATACCATATGTACAAATGTTAATTTTTTATCATTTAAAAAAAGTAATCCTTTAGACATCTGTAAAAATTTATTTGCAAGAAATATGACCTTCACAGAGCCAACCCACACAAAATACTCTTACCAAAAAAGTTTAACGACTTGCAATATTTGACAAAAAAATCTTGTCCAGAAAATATAGTGTATTACTGTAGCTCCATCAATACGTATATCGTTGAAACAAACTATGAAAACCAAATTAAAGTATTTCCATAGAGCACAGGATAGAAGATTTAAAGGAATAGGTTACACTTTACATACAGTGGAAATCCTTGGTTATGCAGAATATTTTGGGCAGCCTCAAAATTAGCTTATAACTAGGACAATATTTCACTGTTTGATGACTAGAATACTATGGTTTACAGTATGTGACATTACAAAGTATTGCTAGACCTTAAAATATTTTTGTGTAACTTCTGCTCAACAAAATTCTGCTATACAATAAGTGATTCCAATACACTCCCATATTCTTACAAATCCATTTAAGTGCAAACACTTCAATAGGCTTTTTCATTGTTTTGATTAGAATTCTAACCATTATGTCAAACCTAATGTTCTACTTATTCTTTCCCATGTCTTATTATGAGCAAACTAAAGTATGAACATAAAAACATTAGCACATTTTCCAAACATCATACAAAAAATTGAAACATGATCACCATTACATTTTACATATGCACATCACTTCATCAGACTGTACCATGGTGTATGACCAGTAACAGACTACATGGGCACAAAGTGTGTGTGTCTGTGTCTGTCTGTCTGTCTGTGTGTCTGTGTGTCTGTCTCTCTGGGTATACCCAAAGGCTGTTCTTATGCACATTACCTCTGTCAGTTGCTTATTATACAGGAACTTCCACATTACCACATTACACTTATATCCTTTAAGGTGGAGCAAATGCTCTTTTTAAATCAATGACACTGTCTTCCCTCATTACTTTCTAAGCCAGAGAGAAAAATACATTAGTCAACAAATGCCAACCTTGCATGCCAATCACACCTTTTTAACTGTCAAGTAAATTCGAAAGGGTGACCTTGAGAGACAAGTAACCTTGGATCATCTAGTATTTGCTAGTTTTCTTTGAGTATTTATAAAACAGGTACAATGCATATTTTATAAATTTTTATAAACTTTTACCAATACTTTTTTCATGAAATCACTTTTTAAAAACACCCTCATATAGTTTCTATAATACTCATGAAGTGATTATTTAAAAATGAGGTTCTTGCTAGCCTACTTCAAAAAATCTAAGTGTGATAAATGGTTTAAAGAACCGACAAGTTGAAGATTGTGACACTTGTGCAACATATAGGAATCTTTATTGACGAAACGTTTCACCACACAGTGGCTTCATCAGTCCAATGTAAATCTAAATCATAAAGGTGTAAGGAGAGGAGTTGAGGTAATCAGTCCCTCAGCCTGAAGTCAATGTGTTCAGTCCATCAACTGATGGACTGAACACTGACTCCAGGCTGAGGGACTGATTACCTCAAACTCCTCCTCTTCTTACACCTTTCTGATTCCTATATGTTGCATAAGTGTCTCAATCTTCAAAAATCTAAATATAAGCCTGTAAAACTATATAAGAGTAAACAAATTTTCTTGGGCATAATATCTAAATGGTTTACATAGTGCATGTGATAAATTACAATATATTTTCTAAAATTTGAATGTAACTGTCATCCTTCCGTTAGCACGCCTTCAAACAAATTTCAAGCTGGTTTTAGATGCGTTATGTAGGTGTGTGGTGTAGCATCAGTGTTAGTCATCTTTTGTTCTTCCTCACCTGTGGTGGTAGTCAGCACAGAAGTCTGCATTGAGGCAACAACAATCCAACTCGCCCCTGAGAAAGGTCCACTTCTCTTCTGAACCGGATGTAAACACTTTTTCTTTTGTTGTTCATTCTTTTAAATTTTTCTTTTGTTGTTCATTCTTTTAAAATATATTTTCATTTTGCTGACAAGTTTTTTTTTCTGGATTGGCTTAAAATAGATTATAAATGTAATGATTTTAGTTAGTAACACGAGTTGGGTTAGTCATGGAAGCATTCTTGTATTTTTATTATCAAAACCATTTGCCTCTCCCTAGCTTTAGCACTGTATAACCGATACATATGTAATGTATCAGTAATACTGTAGTATCTAATGACCAAATTATCTCAATATTTGAGCAACACAGTGATACAAAGTAAGAATTAAATATAAAATTTTAACAGGCTTTATTAGCATATTACATAATTTAGTTACACTGTTAATTATTTTATATAATTCAGTAACTATAAAATGCCTAATTCATATTAAAAAACCTGATTCAGCAAGCTCTTTGCCTGAACTTTTGGAACTTAAAATTTTTCAAGAGTTACAGATGAAGGGAACAGGAATGTCAAAAGAAAAATGTTTCTCCCAATTGCCTTTTTCCCTTTCAGTTTTATTAAGTAACTTTCACTCTGCAACACTGCTGGTACTTCACGGTACTTCAACTCAAATATCATCTTGCATGTATTTTGATTTTTCCCCCTTCATGTTTACCCTGCAAATTGGATAAGATTTTACATATATATATTTTTTTTTTAAATTCTGTATTTATGAAATATTTGAAGGTGGGTGATATTTGGCAAAATAGTTAATGTTGTCAGAATATCAACTAAAGGGAAAAGCCAATGGTCACTGTTGTGCTGTAAACAGATGAGCATAAGGCCAGTACACAAGCCTGACCATAGGGTATGGTAAACTGGGGTGACTGCCTTTTGTGGGGACTGTGCAGTGGTTATTTTATTGTATTTACAAAAACACTAGAACCTTCTGAGTCTAGAGTCATAAATCAGCAATATTACTTAACTGTAAATAATTTTTTACAGAAATAAAGTTTAGTTTACTTCATCAATACCAACTTGCTACTGCTGTGACGAATTCACTCACTACATAAACCATAATTACAACACTATTAAAACTTTTTAAAATCTATTTTTCACACTCCACATCTACAAAAAGATCCATGACACTGGCTAGGAGTATGAGCAGATTTAGACTAAAGAGGAGACATCTACCATTTATGCTGAGAGAGCTGTTGGGTTCTTAGACAAGCCACCTGGTAGGGAGAGTAACCCCTACCTGAGAAGAGGCTCCCAACCCCCCCCCTGAGCACAAACTATGAACCCAACCCTGTGGTCAGGTAATAATATACTATTTTAAGATTTATTCTGATTTTTAATCTGGAGGGTTAGCCACCCAGGGTATCCCAATAAAGTCAGTGAGTCACTGAGGACCGTCTTATTTCCACTTGGGTTCTTTAATCTTGTCCCCCAGAATGCTACCCACAACAGTCAACTAACAACCAAGTACCCAATTACTGCTAGGTGAACAGGGACAGGCAGATGTAAGAAAACATGCCTAATGTTTTCATCCGTGCTGGGGACTTAACCAAGGATACTCAGTATGTGAGATTAGTACACTGTCAACCGAGCCACAGGACTATCATTAATGAAATAGTATACAACTTGCTGTATAAGCAGGTACATGTTATGTAACAAATTTCCATATTTTTAAAAGGACAAAAGAGCCATTAAATGGTGTAGATGTCACAGGCCATGCACCCTGCCTCCACAGGAGTGGCCCTGCTGGTGCATGGGCATTTAGTGACCTAGGTGAACCTTTAACATTCTTCCCCCACACTCACACCTTAAGTTGACACCATAAATGCATTAAGCTGGAAATCAGAAACAACTGCAGTTTCACCCACTAAGGCCTATTTTAGGCCAGTTCCTTTGCTCAAAGCAACTCATTTTCCGAGCACAAGAAACTACCTATTCAACTAGCGGAATTGCCCTATAAAGCACCTAATTTTACACAAAATTCCATTTCAATTTAAAAATAATCCACTATAAAGCATTAAAGGTATTTCCTTTGTTCATTAACCACACTCCTCTGCCTTCTTCTATACAACCCCCTTCCTTCCAATATGAAATATAAAAAAAAAAAAATTGAAATTTCACCCTATTTCTTGGCTAATAAAATTAAACTAAGAACGATCAGTCATGGTTCAAGCTATCCAAATATAAAACAGGCCTAATAAAAATTGTTAAACAAATGAGAGGGGGAGGGTGACCTAATCTTTCATGTAAATTGCCCCCCCTCCCTCCCAAATACATAAATACAAATAAATAAATAAATAATATAAATAAATGAGATAGTCTGAGTCCTGTTTCAGGCCACTCATCTGAAACTGACCAAAATCATCTCCTTTTTCATCATTACATTTTGTCTTGAGCCTATTTCACTTCGTTATTAAGCCACCTTTTAAGTTAATACTATGCTGTAGTCCTTCACTTAAACATATTCTTAAAGCAACATTAATATCCAAAATGTCTATTAGCTTCTAAAAATACCAGACAGGAAGGTTCTTTAACAAAGACAGGAGGGTCAGGCAGCCAGACTGGGCACCATGTGTCCAGTAACACAAGGGACAAATTGCACTCAGGTGGACCATGGCATCACACAATGAGTTAGCCAACAGAACAAAGAACTCATCATTAAGTGTATAGCATTTATATTTTCTTCATAACATACAATAACAGAAGTGGTTTTTGATGTACATATGAAATCAATTTATTTGATACAGTAGAATGTATTTAAGCCAAATTGTCAAAGAGCCCAAATTCATGTCACATGATTTTATGAAAATGTCTGTATGTATCAGTTATCATGCAAGATACATTATATACGTTGAAGGTGTACAAATATGAAAGGCTAACCAGCAGACAGGGAATCATAAAATACATGTATATTCAAAGACTGTGTGGAGTGATACTGTGCTAATTACTGGAAAAATTATAACATCACAATGTTCTAAGAAATAAACTAACTGTACTAGGTCCAAGAGTCGTTACCTCCAAGCAATGCTTGACAGCATCATTAAGAAATATAAACTACGTGTGCCCATAATGAACAAGGCTGGTAGCTCAATAACCCACAAATCTATACTGAACATTACATTAAACTCTCAATGTAATCGGCAAATAGGGGATTGTCCAAATGTCTGCCAAGTCATAATGTAAAAATATCACAGAAAAGGCACTCACGTATTCTGTTGCATACCTAATATAGGACTGTCCACACATTTTGCTGTTACACATATACTGCAATAAACATTGAAAATAAAGTCATTAGAATTACAATTTTATTTTAGAAGTGTTACATATTTCGAGACTTATTTAAATATATTCAAGGAAGCACTTAGGCCATTTTATAACAGATACATTTGATCCTGGAACTTTGTCCACTCTCAACAGGCACGGTAGATGAGAGAGGTTCTAACTGATTGACAAAGGACTAAAACCTTTATGAACATTATCAAATTTACACTGTCAATACCAACTTGCTACTGATGAGATCAGTTAACCTGCAATTGACATTAATCACAATGAAAGTAAAACTATTCAGAATCCTTTTCCCATAATCCATCTCCATAAATCAGTGTTATCACCAGAAACATTACCATATTTAAAATTATGGGAGGGGGGGAGGGAGATCTAAGCCAAAGGGTGGAGGGGAAGAGAGGGTGCTGGGTCCTACAACTTTTAGTAAAATACTTTAACACACAGGAGTGCTTCCATGAATGACCGAGATCATCCGTAGTCCAGAGGTCACGAGGGTCAACCTGGAATTCTTTGTAATCCTAAGTTATTTTTTGCCACTATTATGCTTATAGGTTCCAGATACAGGCTCTGACGAGTGCCTTCACAGCAGCATAAACCATTTTGCAGAATTCACAGAAATCAAGGTTGGCTGCCACAAAAAATGGATATATAACATAAATTTTGGGCCACATCTTTGCATCTAGTATAAATTTTTAGATGTTCATACAGCAATGTCTTCCCATCCTGTGAAATCATTTTTGACCATTGCAAATTTATCAGGAAGACTTACAGTACAATGCTCAAATGTTAGCTGATAATTTGGCTGATTATTCTCCATATGCAGTTTATAGGATCTCTCATAAATTTAATTCTCCAGGATAAACAAATAAATGGGTCATGCAATAACAAAACCTGTAGACCTTATGTATACAAGTTAATTATATTACACTGCAAAAATGTACAATTAAAGACATTACAATTAATAAAATACTGTATATGCAGTATTATGTTTTAGACAAGTAACAATTTTATTATCAGAAATCTGTTCACAGACAATATGGCTGTATGCTACTTTGTTACTACAGAGAACTCTTGAAATTCTCCAACAAGTTCAAACAATTATGGATTATGTAGTGTGAAAAATGTGGCTTGCACCACATCAACTTGCAGAAAAAAAAAAACTGTCCATCTCCAATTTTCGGCCTACTCTTTTATTTTTCAACCATTTTTTTTTTTATTTTTGGTGTACATTTAGAGGTTCATATGTAGAAGAATGTGACAAAGTTTCAGTATGATTGGCCAACAAACAGAAAAAAATATTTAATGACTTTTCATATACGGCAGCAAGGCATGACAAAATGGCACTTCGAGTGGCACTTCCGACAATCCCAACCATTAGAATACATCTGACACGACTTTTGGATGCACATGTTTCATCTAATATATCTTATTATCATGGAAAAAAAAAATACATTTGATAGACTTTTTGGCATTCACCAAAATATCTGCCTTTTACCTCCCACAAAATCAAAAATATTTGATATATTCCAAAAAAAGATGCAGCAAATAGTCAAACACACTTTGTTTTATATTGTCAGTAAAAATCATTTCAATACAATCATTAATAATGGTGTAATTTAGCGAAATAAGTTAAAAAGTTACTTCCAAGATATAGACAGGAACGCCGGCCGGCCCGCCGTCTCCCCAAAAAATTTTTTTCGCGAAAATCGCGTTTGTTTCGGTGGTTTTCTAAGTAAACTGATTTTCTAGTGCAGTTATCCTCTTCAAAATACAGTTTTCTATCACTCACAGACCAAACAATACAACAAGGAGACGAGGAGTAACTCATTTATGTCGAAATATTGCTGGTGGACTCTCGCCATATTATGGCCTATTTTATTCAGTCTAGAGTATATAACATGTTTGTTTGTTATTTATAGTGTTTATTATATCATATTAGATCAATTCTGATAGATAAATAAGCCGTATAGTTGATATATAAGCTGATATAAACTTAATAATGAAGTGATTTCACCTGGCACCATCTGGAGGGGGAGTACTGCCGAGTGTTCTCAGATGGCTCCCGATTGGCTGGCACTCTACTGATAAGCTCCACCTACTCTTATATGATGCCAAATAATCAATTATTATATTAGAAAGAATAATGCAAAGAAAAAGCAATAAAAAACAAGGAAAAAATTCCAAAAAATACATGGGTTGAGAACAGACGCGCTACCTACATCGCTGTTACCATACCTGATATAAATGACTATAATTTCTTGTAGAAACGTCTTAGAACATTGATTCTTGTACCATTGTGTTGCCAAAGAGTTAAGCTATTTTTCGGTATATGTAACTCAATTTCCATAATTTTTTGATTTTTGGTTGAGCGCACGCGGAAAATTGCCCACATGCTCCCTTAATACCACTGAAGTCTTGGTTATCATAAAAGTTCTCAAACTACCCATCCCCTTATCTACAATGTTCATAAATAAGAAGTTCAAATTCAGTATCAAATAGTGAACCTCCAGAGCAATGAATCCAAGTTACCAGGTGATAACACTGAACTTTAAGGAACACCATCTTTGGTGGTGAATGAGGCCTGGTGGCTAAAGCTCCCGTTTCACACATGGAAGGCCCGGGTTCGATTCCCGACGGGTGGAAACATTTCGACGCGTTTCCTTACACCTGTTGTCCTGTTCACCTAGCAGAAAATAGGTACCTGGGTGTTTGCCGACTGGTGTGGGTCGCGCCCTGGGGGACAAGTTTCAGGACCCCAATGGAAATAAGTTAGACAGTCCTTGATGACACACTGACTTTCTTGGGTTATCCTGGTTGGCTAACCCTCTGGGGTTAAAAATCCTAACAAAATCTTATCTTATCTTCAAAGAATCCAAAGGTGGCACAAAATTAAACCATGCAAGACTGCTGATAGATCACACAACATATCATTTACAGACTGTCCTCTCAATACGTGTGAAGCAAGGAATGACAACTGGGCTCAACCAATCCAGGTTCCACTTAAAAGATGCACCATGTGATTTGCATGCCACAGATGCACTATGCTATAGAAAAGCTCAGCAAATTGCTGGTCAAGCAAAACTAAATATAATTAACTGTACTATTACTAATCCTGTCCCACTTAATGTAATGTGTAACTATCAATATCAGATGTGAACAACAGTAATTGTACTGTCACATTAATTAATGTTATCAGGCAAGTGACACCTCACTGTCAGAATAATTACAATCATGGGGGAGTGCTAAACCTGTAGGGTTATACAGCACATGTTGGGGGGGATGGAAGGTATTCAGGCTCAATTCAGGGAATCAGACCACAAATCCAATTCCCTAGATCAAGAGCCCCTCACCAGCATCAAGGAACCTCCCTTGAAGGGCACTGATGTCAGTGTAAAAAAAAAAAAAAAAAAAAAAAAAAAAAAAAAAAAAAAAAAACTGGTCCTGTATCAATGTATCTAACAACATATTACATCCACAAGAACCCATGTAAGTTTAGGAATTGCATTTAATTACTGCAAGATCATGGAAGTTAATGTTTAATGCATTATTATAGCTTCCCAGTCAGTCAAGTACTTTAAGTTTCAAACATCTGTTGCTTGGCATACTGCTAACCACTGGACACCATACCCAGGAACTAACAATGGAGGGTAATGCTGTTATAGGATGGTTTGATAATTATGACAAGGTTATCACTTTAAATTAACAGAGCCATTGCAACCCAGTGTACCAAACGACCTTCAGAAGTGATCTAGACTGCCAGTCTACGTGACAGCTGAAAACGATAAAGCATACCCATATTTTTTGTGGTGGTTATCTTGGATTTCTGCAAAATGCTCAATGCTGCCATGACAGCATTCATCAGATTCTGTATCAGAGACCCAGTTTCACCAATGAACATAAGTTGGCTCCCAAACTATGATACATCAACACCATAATACTGCATTTTATATATTTTTTAGGGGGGCAAGTTTTTTTTTTTTTTTAACTTGCTTCATTTTTCTATTTTTAAAAATATTTTGATGTTGAACAATGTTTCCTTGAGTTACATATAACAATTTCATTATTTTTATGCAGAAACGCCGAATCCCGGTTACAACAACTGCAATGGTCAGCACTTCTATAGATCCCTATGTAAACATCGCTCAGCTTTCTTTGTTTTTAGTTTCTTGTTATATATTAATTTGCTCAAAAGTTTCAAAACTGTAGTTTATACTTTGATTTGTAAATTATAGTATACCTGTTTATTTTTGTTCCATGTATGTAGATTATTGAAGGTTTTCTTTTATATACTGTCAGGCATGTTTGTATCTGCATTAAACAAATTACAAGTACAGTACAGGTATTTGCATGCATAGCAACATTAACAGTATCTCTGTTGAATGCTTGAAACTAATAATTAACTTTCAACCTATCATCACATTAGCACTAAAAGCACTGTCCAAATTTGCTTCCATGATTTATGTTTAATCCTAACCAAAAGTGTTTTAACTTAGTCTCTTTCGAACAAATGTGAATTGTGTTTAAAGAGCATCAGTAGTTGCACTCTTTAAATGCACACACACACACCAATTAATTTTTTAAAATTTGTGTAGAATTTCTTCTTTAATATAAATTATATTTCAGTTCTGCAAAGTGCAGTGGAAGCACTGTAGCTAGTTTATTTTGCTTTGCTTTAATTAAGTTTTAAATCTTTCAGCTTTTGAAGGGAAAGCATGTGATGGTACGAGTGGGAGGAGGATGGGACACCCTGGAACACTACCTCCTTCGTCATGACCCTAAGCAGGTAAATAAGGTTCATTTTTATTTATGATTCTCATCCTAATTATTCTTTAATAATACTAAAGCTGAAAGGGCAAAGCAGGGTTTCACATATAAATTTAATCTCAATAATTAATCACAAAAGCTAGAACACAACATGACTGGGCTCAATTACAATATAAAGTTAAGAAATATGAAAAGCTACTCTGTCAATAGTTCCATGAACCACCTTAGGAATAGCTCTCAATATAGCATCTATATTGCCAATATTAAATTTAATTATATGGTTTACTCATGAGTATCTCCAATGGGCATGGACACTAGGGTTTCTTATAGTTTCCATCTTGGATGTTACTCATAACTGTACTACTATTCATTATTTGTAGAGGAACAGCTGACAACAGGAAGGGCAAGCTTCTGTGGGTCATGGAATTTCTCCCAGAGAAGATTTTTATACTTCAACTTTTTTGTAGTGTACAGGTTCTACAAACCTCATTTGGAATCCTTCCAGAAGTATATTAAATTATTCAGCCAGATGCTGAGGACCATAAAGAGAATACCCAAAGTGCCAAACACTAAGATGAGAAACTCAATCTGTGACGAAATTTTTTAACGAAATTCCTAAGGCAAACCAGTGTGTATGCAAGCAGATCATCTCGTGTAGGTCCTGAGCAAAGCCTTGCATTCTATAGTAGGGAATTTTCCCTAAGCTCATCTCTAGTCAAAAATTTTGAACATTTCCCCCTCCCAAAAAACACATACACATCCCCACACATGAAAAGAAAGGACTGTTCTTAAGCAAGCTTGTGTACCAGTACTGCTAACATAATTTTATGCTACCCCTTGGTGGGATTTTACTGATAGAAAGATAATCATATGCAAAATAATTACAACAGACATAGGTAAGGGAACAATGTAGGTACTATAATAGACATTGTAGCATTTTACAAAGACCATATTGTGCTTAGCCTTTCTAAATATAAGACTGTGGTTGGTATAAGCAGATAACAGGAATCCTATCCTGATGGAGAGTGCCTGAAGCTGAATTAAGGTGGTCTGACTTGTGTTTGGGACACTGCAAGAAAGGAGATGGGTAATCTCTGAGCTAGGAAGTAAAACATCTGGATCACCAGGCAGGGCTACAGCTGTGAGGCATTCCAAAATCTGATTAACATTGTATTCTTGTTCATAAGAAAAAGTGACACATATGTATGAGGGTAACCTGGAGCTCTCTGAGGTGGAAGGATACAAGGTCTTTAGACCATTCTAACAACTCTAAACAACTACCACAAAGAATGGCATCATCTGAATAATGAAAAAAATGGAGTCCCAGGGGCATAATGAGACAGGCTGGAGATAATGTGTGTTAACACAAAATCCAAGGTCAACTAGGACTCATTCTGTGGGATATCTGATATAAAAACACTGCCTCAGTGTTAATAGTTTATGTCTGCAAGGAAACTTGTATTGTAAAATTTTTCCAAACGATATTTAATAATCTAAATCATGCATATAACCCATCACTAGTGGATCAGTCTAGTAAAGAACCGAGTGACCACATTGTCCTGATATGGGTAACAGCCATTCTAAAGAATCACAAGAGCATCTTCCACAGACTTTTACTGCCACTGAATGGAGACCATATGGTGAGTGGAGATTGGGTGTAGTTCAGATGGTGTAAGCAACTTACACCAAAAGACAAAGGAAATTGAAAAAAAAAAAAAATACCAAATCTAAGGGAAAAACAACATCCAGAATTGGGCCCCTGCTTAGGCAGGATGGGACATACACAGATGATAGCCAAGAAACGAGTGAGATACTTAAGTCCCAACATGACTCAGTGTTCAGCGAGCCACTGCCCAGACTAAGGGTCGACAATCCAAATGAATTTTATGAACGAAACCCAAAATGTGGCCTTCCCAAAAATTTTGGATATTATTCTAACGCCACAAGACTGTTTTTTCAACATCTGAAAGTATGTAAAAAAAATGTAGATCTTTTTTGTTTTACATTTGAAAACGTGTAAAAAAAACTTACCTACATATTTTTTTGTTATATTTGAAAATATGTCAAAAAAAGTACTAGATCTACTTTTGTAGCACTACGAATTTGAACGTCAATCTCTTTGGACCGTTTAAGGGTCAATGACATGCCCACGCACTCTGCCCCAGGCTCAGACTCTTGGAACTCAGTGTTCATCAAGAATTGCAAGAAGCCCCTATCGCGTGCCTTCGGCATTTTATGGAGAGGGAGCATGGACACAGGAGTCATCCCACACACACTAAAAACAACAGACATAGCCCCACTCCACAAAGGTGGCAGCAAAGCGATTGCAAAGAACTACAGATCAGTAGCACTAACATCCCATATCAAAAACCTTGTAGAGGGTTCTAAAAAGCAAGATAGCCAACCATCTAGATACCCAGCAATTACACAACCCAGGGCAACATAGGTTTAGAGCAGGCCACTCCTGCCTGTTCCAGCTACTGGACCACTATGACAAGGTCCTGGATGCTGTCGAGGATAAACAAAATACAAATGCAGTATACACAGACTTTGCAAAAGCTTTCAACAAGTGTGATCATGGTGTAATAGCACACAAAATGCGTGATAAAGAAATAACGGGAAAAGTTGGTAGACGGATCTACAACTTCCTAACAAATAGAATACAAAGAGTAATAGTAAATAGAGTAAAGTCCCAGGCAGCCATGGTAAATAGCTCTGTTCCACAAGGCACAGTACTTGTTCCCATTCTATTCCTCATCCTCATTTCTGCATTTCTGACAGACAGATGTAAGCCATAGCTCCATGTCTTCCTTTGCGGAAGAGACCCAGATTACCATGGCAGTGACCTCCATCGAAGACACCGCGAGACTCCAAGCGGACATCAACCAAATCTTCGAATGGGCCACTCAAAACAATATGAAGTTCAACAAGGAGAAATATCAACTACTCAGATATGGGAAACGAAGAAATTAAATGTGTGTCAGGGTATACAATAAATTCTAACCATACAACAGAGCAGAAAATTAATGTGAAGGACCTGGGAGTGATAATGTCCAAGTATCTTGCCTTCAAAAACCACAACAGTGTATCTACCTCATCCGCTAGGAAAATGATAGGATGGATAATGAAAACTTTCAAAACTAGGGATGCCAAACCCATGATGATTCTCTCAAATCTCTTGTTCTCTCTAGGCTGGAATACTGCTGTACACTAATGGCCCCCTTCAAGGCTGGCAACTTTGCAGACCTGGAGAGTATACAGAGAACTTTCATGGCACACAAGTACGAGAAGACACCTAAACTACTGGGAATGGTTGAAGGTCCTTGATCTGTATTCCCTAAAACACAGGCAGACACATGATAATATACACCTGGAAGGTCCTGGACGGATTGGTACCAAACCTGCACACGAAAATCACTCCCTGTGAAAGCAAAAGACTCAGCAGGAGATGCAACATTCCCCCGATGAAAAGCAGGGGCGCCACGAGTACACCAAGAGACAACACAATAAGTGTCCGGAGCCCAAGACTGCTCAATTGCCTACCAGTATACGTAAGGGGGATTACCAAGACCCCTGGCTGTCTTCAAGAAGGCACTGGACAGGCACCTAAAGTCTGTACCTGACCAACCGGGCTGTGGTTTGTACGTCAGTTTGTGTGCGGCCAAGAATAACAGCCTGGTTGATTAGACCCTGATCCACCATGAAGCCTGGTCTCAGACCGGGCCACGGGGGCATTGACCCCTGAAGCCTTCTCCAGGTTAACTCCAGGTAAACCATATCTCTTTTATTGTTTGTGTTCTACAGTGCTTCCTTCCTATCAGGTGGTGGTGTTTGGCCTGTTTCTGGCGAGTTAGGCTGGAATATCCATTGCCCCAGTGGGGTGGACCCTTCTCAGCTGACTATTTTCTTCACCTCTGGCCCATGATATGGCTACTGTGCCCCTTACTGTGATACATAAATGGGCCCTTGAGGTTGATGACAGAACCAGGTCTCTATTGGGCCCAAAATGTCTAGACTCGGCTCCTTCTCCACCCCAAGTTACTCCAGATGTAAAGGTAGTTCTTGTGTATCCCAAGGATGGTGGTACACCCTTCACCAATCCATGGGAAGTCACCAATGCCATCAGTGGTTCTCCTTTCAGCAAGGCAAGGCCTGCATGAATGGGGGTGTCCAGCAACTCTTAGTAGGGGTGCTGCTCTAAGACTCCAGCTTCACTGCAAGTGTTTTCTGGCCAGAAATTTACCGCTTAATGCCAATCATGTCCTAGGTAAGTGGAGTGTTGTCTGCTGGGAGGTCCACTCCTCAATCTTTACTACTGGTTGTTGCCATGGCAAGACTGGACCAATTTCCTCATCCCTCTCAGCAGAGTTGATCCATTCTAAGTTTTCTTAGTTGGTTTTTAATGAGGGGAGGGCTCTATTTAGATTTAAGAGGTTTGGAGCCTCTCAACTAACCCCGCCCGATATCACATGGTTCGCGTATGTTTCTTGGGTGCTCTCCCGGAATTTGCGACTTTTGGCTATCTTAGGTTTCTCATCCTTCCTTATACATGTACTTTACCTCTACTCCGGTGTCAGATATGTTTCTTCAGGGCACGGAGAGCTGTTTCTATGCCCATGCAAGGTTAATGTGCAAACTTTAACAGTTTTCACCCAGCAGTCGAAGATGGCACTGCCTGTATCTGCCCAGTCTCATGCTACTTTTGTAAAGGGACCCACAAGGTCACGTCCTGGTTTTGCCTGGCATATTGCCAGGTTATTAATTTGGCAAACTCAGCCAAGGCCCAGTCCCTTTCACTCAATAAATGCAACTCCAGCCTGCGGTCCGTGAAACCAGCCACAGGCCGTTGGCCCTTGCCTCTGTCTCCAGCGGGCCCCACGAAGGGCATCTCCCCAGCACCAGTGTGACCAAGGCACCCGTTCTTCACCACTGTGAGGGCTAATATCCCTGTTTCATATCGTTTTGCAGCTCTTGCAGAACTATCTCTTCCTTCAGAAGATTTCCCACCTCTGGAACAACATTTCAAGTTGTCTTCAGACCTGGCTTCTACTGCAGAAGTTATTGCTCACACTGCTCTTTTTTCACAATGGGCGTCTTGCTGTCAAGGTGGCGCAGATTCAAAACCGACTTGAAATTCGGTACCTCACCCAGTCCAATTGGGCTTCTTGTTTGACCCAGAACCTCACTCCTCACAGAAGTCCTCCCCCTCCATTTCCTCTCAACCCCAGCCCCAGCCTGTCCAAGTTTCAGGACCCTTCCCTACTGAAGATTCAGCTGTTTCACTCTCGTCTGCATGGGCTTCATTTCTTCATCCTGTCCTCCTTTTGGCAGAGGAAGCGCTTCACTCCTCCTTACAGGGCTCAATTTTTGTGAATGCACGTCTCTTGGTTCTTCCTCACCTCATCAGCTTTCTTAGCTCACACACGACTCATTTTCGCTCTTCTGTTTTTCTTCTCTGGAACGTCTGTTTGATATTGGGGAAGCTCCCAAACCTTCAGAAGTATCTGGCTGAGATACAACCACTAGCGGTGGGCCTCTCCGAGACATGGTTACATCCTCCTCATTCTGTTCAGCTGTCTGGTTTTACCATTTACCATCAGGATAGCCTTGAAGGGGGGGGGGGGGTGGCCTAGCTCTTCTTGTGTGTAGCTGGTTCCAGAACATGACCCCTCTCCCTCCAGGCCTATGAGAATGGGGCGATAGAAACTCTAGCTGTGCGAGTTGCCTTGGGCACTCAGAAGTGTACCTTCCTGATTTACTATCCAGGCAGGTCAGTAACACAGTGAGTTTACCCATTACTTTGAGCAACTCCATGGTCCAGCACTTGTTATAGGGGACTTCAATGCTAGGCACCATTTCTGGGAGCCATTCCTTTCTCTGGGACTGGTGCTCCCACAGGTAGGGCCTTTTCCAAGCCCTCCTAGCATCTCACCTTTCCTTGTTCACACTGCCAGGCTTGGAGACTAGACTGGATCCTCACACAGGGCGAGCTTCTACCCTGGACCTCGTTCATAGGTGAGGGTAGCTTCTTAGAACTCTTTCGAAGATTTTAATGATATGGGATGTTAGTGCTATTGGTCTGTAGTTCTTTGCAATTGCTCTACTGCCATCTTTGTACAGTGGGGCTATGTCTGTTGTTTTTAGAATGTGAGATGACCAGTGTTTATGCTCCCTCTCCATAGAATGCTGAAAGCACATGACAGGGGCTTCTTGCAGTTTTTGATAAACAGTTCCACAAATCTGGGCCTGGGGCAGAGTACATAAGCATGTCATTTACTGTCTTTTCGAAGCCTTGTGGTGTTAGGATATCAGTGATTTTTGAGATGACCATATTTTGGGTCTGTCATAATGAATTCATTTAGATTGTATACCGTTAGTCTGGTTAACGGCTCGCTGAAAGCCTAGCCATATTGGGACTTTAGTATCTCATTTCTTTGCTGTCATCTGTGCAAGTCCCATCTTGCATAAGCAGGGCCCCAATACTGGATGTTGTTTTACCCTTAAATTTGGCATTAGTAGTAATTTTTTTTTTTTTTTTTTTTTCAATTTTCTTTATAGCCTTTAGTTGTTCCCGAGATTCTTGTCTCCTGTAAGATTCCTTAAACTTTAGTTTGATATTTGCTCTTTCTCTGACCAGTGCCTCCCTATGTATTACAGATATATTGGCCCTTCTCAGCAGCTCTGTGATTCTTCACCTTCACCTGTATATTGAGCATCTTTCTTTCTAGTTTACATCTTCTCTTTTCTTAATGGAATGTGCCTTGAGCAGACCTCAAGTGCCAGGGTTATTTTCTAGGCAAAGGTTCGGATCCATGTTGTTTCATTTAGGACATGGCTGACTTGTTCCCATTGTATATTTTTTGTTATCGAAGTTGAATTTTGTGAAGGCACCCTCATAACTGATCACATTTTGCTGCTCAGGAGCCTTGTGCATACATGTCTGTACATCTTATGTTGTGATCTGTGTGAATTGTCTTTGATATGGTTATAACATGTATCAGATCATTGTTGTTAGTGAAGATGAAGTCCAGCGTATTTTCTAGTCTTGTAGGCTCTAATATTTGCTGGTTTAAAATGAATTTGGTGTAGAGATTTAATAGCTCTCGCATGCATGTGTATGTAGAGATTTTCCAGTGGTCCCTATTTTCCCCATAAGTTCTTCAGTTTATCAAACACGGCATTTTCAGGAACGTAACTAGTACAGTGTAATATAAGGCCTACCGTACATCATAATTCCCACAGCCACTTGATCAACTAGACCAGTAGTAGTAGCCATAATATTTACAATGCACTTCATGCTGCAGCAGTGCACAATAGAAAAGGAGGACAACTTTGAAAAGAAAATTACTTGGAAGTGCGTACATCCGTGTTTCCAACTTCAACCAGAATGGAATGGTGTTTACAATTTAGCTGAACCTCTTGCCACAAAACTTTGGAGCCTTGGAAATTGCAAAGATTTGATGTGCACCACACTAGTTCTCCACTATAAACTACTTTACGAACATTCTCATACCAGATTTCTCTTTGTAACTTAAAGCTCAATACATAGGCAAAATGTCATTAACAGAAATTTCGTCTAACTGCATTTAAGTCTGTTTACAATCATGACAGTATCTTTGACCATTACATACCCAGTATGGCCATATTTCTTACATATGTGCTGGTAGCATGTTGCTTCAGCTGGGGTCTATACAAAGATTCTCCAGTTTGGGGAAGTGATTCAACACCACTTGGTGTTGTGGTGGCATTTCCTAACATAATACACCTAATAAGCTAAATTCAGACAAGCTTTTACACACAGTATTATAAATTTGTACAATGGATCTGAGGGCACATAGTCAATGTAGGCATGCATTAATGGCACATTATGTAGATAAACCTAAAATAATCCAATAAAGTCAAGGTGTGGCTTATTTCCAGAGCTCTTCTTTACTGTTTAAAGTAAATGTTCAAAGTGAAGGTAAGCAATGAACTGTATAAAATATGCAAGGGACAACCTTGATATCTATATACTTGTATAGACCCGGAAGCAAGGACTTCTCACGTGACTCACCTAGCATAGGACACCTGCCGCAGCCTTTGTTCCATAAGGATGCGAGTATGCTCCAGACACCATACTGTGGTCTTGAAGGTGAGATGCAGTGCTAATAATCTCCAGTAGAAATTTAGTAGCCATGTACTAAGTGGCTTGTGAGCTACTAATATGGTCTACTAGCTAGTGCATTTCTCTATTTTTCAGCCCGAGTTTCATTACCTGTTTTCACTAGCCAATATTCGACTTTATTCATTAACCCTTTGAGGGTCGAGAGCCTCAATCCTAAACCATCACTGGGGTGTGAGTGTGTGAGTGTGTGAGTGTGAGAGTAAGAGTAAGAGTAAGAGTAAGAGTAAGAGTGAGAGTGAGAGTGAGAGTGAGAGAGAGAGAAAGGAGAAAATCTTCTTACCAAAATCTTCTTATTTTTGTTAGTGTAAGTAAAAAAAAATTTTTGCGATCAATACTTGCCGAGATAAAGAAACACGAAGTTGATAGAAAGTGACCCATTTATGGCAACATTGCCGACTGTCGGTCAGGTGGTAATCATTTATTTTTTCTACTTTTTTCTTATTGTTTAACATTTTATTTTTTCAATAACTTTTATGGCCTGTGAGACCAGCATAAGCCATATTTTGTACATTCACTCATTGTATGCTACACAATAACCACACAAACATTGTTGTCATTATATTGTTTACAAAACAAGTTTACACAAACCAACAATAAAAAATGTTGCTTATTACTATTTTTTCTATCATATATATATACAAATCTAGTCACTGGACACGTTCCTAGAACTGGTAGAGGTTCTGGAAGCTTGTTGTTGCATGTGGATGGACTTGTAAATATGCTGAATCACCAGCGTGGCTAGTGTCACTGACACATTACACCTTCACTAACTCTCAATGCCTTCAACAACACACATGTCTTCCCCACCCCACCAACCCACATGGAAGTAAGTCACTGACTGAATTTTTTGGGTTATCCTAGGTTGATGGCCGTCTGGATCATCCTTAACAATAACTATCTTTATTTACTACATGTACATGGTATACTGGCCTAGCTGACTTCAATGACATACTACTATATACAAAGCCCCTTGTTATGTTGAGCATTTCGGACAAATTAGGTCAGTGTCCCAGGATGCTACCCACACCAGTCGACTAACACCCAGGTACCCATTTTACTGATGGAGAACATACACAACAGGTGTAAAGAAACATGCCCAATGTTTCTACCCTGGCTGGGAATCGAACCCAGGCCCTCGCCATGTGAAACGAGAGCTTTAGCCACCAGGTCACCAGAGCCCTTGCCTGCCTGCCTTCCTACCTTTCTTCCTTTCCTCCTTCCTACCTACCTTCCCTCCTTCCTACCTTCCCTCCTTCTTACCTATCTTCTCTCCCTCCATCCTTCTTTCCTTCCTCCCTCTCATCTCGTCCTTTCTTCCTTCTGGTTTACTGAGCATCGCTTTCAATCACAAACTCCTCAAAACCATGAAATTCATCTTTATTGACTCTACAATCTGTGTTAAAACTGTCACTTGGGAAAATAAGTCCCAATTTGCCGGGAAGTGAGGAGTTTCTTACCTGAAATGGCATTCCCACAATGCAATGCAGGTACCTGATTTTTTTCCTACTGTGCACACTCACCATGCAGATCCATTCTCTCACATGTAGGCCTACCAGCTTTCTCCCGCTCAATTTGAAGGCGCTAGAATTTACTCATTTAAGTACATGACCAACCCCAGCTGTTATGACGTACATGTACGTGACCGACCCTCAAAGGGTTAAACATTTGCATCTCACTGCCAATTTAGAACTTCCTTTTAAACATTATTAGTGCAATGACTTTGCATTACATTTTTTAGTTTCTAAAACATTATATGCTGAAATATTACACCATCTGATGTGTGTATATATAAAATAATCCCTCATACATAAATTAATTTTTCAGGTGACTGTATTTAACATTAAGTCTACAGACCCATTCCTACACATCCGTGCCAAGTACTGTTCTCCTACACAGTCCCAAGCTTCTTCTACCAGAGGCTCTCCAACACACTCCCGAGCCACACCCAGCAGGGTGACACTTTCCGGAGATCCTTCCCCACGAGACTCTTCATCTGAAAGTACTCCACCACCTCCAGAGGAACCTCAAGTGCCACCCTCTCCACCTGCTGTGTCTTCCATGCATGCCACAGAAAGTTGTGTGTCAATTACAGAAAGTTCCAAGACAGAAAACAGGAGCTTCATTTCTACTGATGAATGTACAGTGGTTGATGCAGAAGAAAGTTTACTGAAGAAAGAAGATTCAACAGAGGCTTCTTTTCCTCCCTGTTCTCTCAATGGAACTACTGAAATTGAGTCTTTTGAGCTAGTTCAGGATGATGAGCTCATAGCTGCTACATCCTCACTTCAATCACAATCCAGTCCTAGAATAAGTACCAGCTCTACTCCAGTTTCAAGGCCAATTGTAAACTCGGCAACATTTTGCATCGAGGATCATAAGACTGATCCTGTGCCTACAATCACTCATACATCACACTCAAAATCTCCCTCTACTTCCTCAGCCTCTTCTTCTTCTTCAGAATCTACATCTTCCCCAGAATCTTCATCCTATTCCTTGAAGGCTACACCACCACCTACTCCTTCCACTTTCTCTACACCAGCATGTGCAACATCTGCGCCACTGGATTTGTCATTAACAACAAATGATAGTAATAGCACACTTGGGACCCCTTTACCGACTGATTCAACCGATCATGACTTTTTGTAGGTAAAGGTGTAAATAACAAGCACTGAATGACCGACTCGATATTATCGATGTTCGTATATATCTAAAAGATTGTTATTTCTGAGCAGTAAATAAAAAAATAAATTTAAATGGAAACTGAAAATATAACTTCCTTTGGCCTCTGCCTGCAAATACTATAATATTTTTATCAAAATGTTATTAGATATCAAATGCACCTGGTATCAAGCCCAGTGATACAATGCTAAATACGTATGTGATATTGCATGTGGATATACTGAAGGAAAAGGACTTGCAGAACAGCCGCAGGGATGAAATGTTAAGTCAAAACTGGGTAGTGTACCATGTATAAATCCTGTAAGGAACATCACTTTAAATACCTGCTTATGTGTGTAGGTTATTGAAAGTCAGGGTGCTGCAGAATAGTCCTATAAGGATCATCAGTTTTTGTGTTAGTGATTCAGTTACAACAAAGAAAAATGAGGTACCTTTCTGTTACCATGATATGATTTGCAACATGCAATATTTTTAAAATAGGTTACACGTGATATTTGATAATTAAAATCTTACCCAAATGTCTTAAAGTAAGATCAGTTGAATGTATAGTGTGTGGGATAATTCATTAATAATTTTATCTGCAAAATGTAATATTTTTGTTTATAAAGTATTTTACAGCATTTCTTGATATTAAACATTAGAATAAAGAAAATGTGCTGATTTGTGATAAAGGTACAGCAGCTTCATATATCAAACATATACATGTATACACTTGGGAATTTCTTATAATACAGTATCTGTATTACTTTTACAACATACTGTACTGTGCTCATCATTGTGCTGGACATTTACAGATGTAAATGATTATGGAATTGCCTGTAGTCCATCATATATTTCTGTTAATCCATAAATCATAGTAGTATTTTGTAATTCAAAGTTTTATCATTGATAGATAATGATTGCATCTCTGCAGATGCCTGGCATCTATGTTAGGCACTCATGGCACTGTGATAATATTGTATTGCTAATAACATCACTAATGTTGATGTACAGCAAGATTTGGTGGAAAGACTTACCAGATATTGACATATGGTAGTACTAAATATTGTTTCTAGACCACTCATCTTGTTTAAAGCTCATCAGAGTATGGTGAAGAACTTAGGACTTACATTTTACACACCTATGCGTATCTATGAAGACTTCGTTAATTGTGGATGCAATTTATTTACAGTAGGGTGCCATTTTCCTCTGCATCAAGACAATATATAACTGATGCATGTGTCCAATAAAGTCACATTGTTATGTCTCTGCAGGTCCAGTTTCATGGCCCATTATTTTAGCAAACAAAGAGGGAGATTTTAGATACATGGTACAGCATAAGAGATTTTCTATCACTTCAGAAGAGGGCCTGTAGTTTTGAGAGATATTTGACTTTTTTGAAGGTAATGGACAAGATTGTCATAAGAGCAGGACTCTTGCGTAGGCTTTCTTGCTATATTTTATGTTAACTAAAATATTATGCATGATATTTATACGTATAGGTCTTTATCTTTGAGCAGGCACAGTAGGTGCTAGTGTCCTTTCATCAGAGGACATAAATGGCAAAATAATTATATCCATTATAGACTTTTAATGATTATGGAATAACTTCTTTCATGGGAGACTTAGTTTGTATTACAGATGATCTTTTAGTAGCCAGTATCTGCTTACTGCAATAGTACATCAAGCTCGCAACTTATGTGTATAAGAGATATCCTCATTGATATTTGCATCTGAGGACGTATGGGACATCTTTTAGAATTCTTTTAAACAAATTTTGTATTTAAAGTATGTCTGCTTTATATATATACATATAGTACCAAGGTGTCAAATGCATGGTTGCTAAATATTTTGCCATATGCCTGCTATTCAATTATTGAAAGTAAGTGATGTGATATACTTTCGTAAGACCCTGATATGATTTATTGAGTTTTCTGAAAATAGCAAGGTTCTTTTTTTGATATTCATTAAACTAAAACTGGCAACTTGCTAATATAGTCACAAATTGGGATACAACATACAAAAATTTTTTAATACAGTATAATATTTAAAGAGACTGTAGTAGGGTCAGTAATAGGTGCTATGAAAAATACTTGAGGCTTGCGTACTGTGTATCAAAAGAAAACATATACTGGGTGTAAACTGTCTAATAATCATTAATTTATCAATATTTGTGATGAATTTTTTTCCCATCATAATGAGACAACAAACACTCATGGACTGGTACACCCATTACATATGATAACCTCGACTGATTCTTTTGGGTTTTGAAAATGCATATTAACTAACCCATTTCAAGAAATGTCTATCACCTATTTAAGTGTTTAAAAAAAATTAAAAAATTCACTGGGTAAATTTGACTGGCGTACAGATTATCTGACGAAAGATCTAATTGCTTCAAAATTACATACATTAAAATTTCTTTTAGTTATGAGTCGTAGTGCTATACCTTCAATCTGATATACAGGTCGGCCATCACTAATCTGGCATCATTGGGACCTGTAGTGTGACGGATTACTGAGTTTGCCAGATTACAGAGTGGTTAGGTTAGAATACACTTAATTAACCTATCAATAGAGAGACTTTCTGCTACATCTTCCTCATTTTTATCCCTGCTTTCTTCTCCACTGGCTTGCTGTGGATTTACAACCATCTGCACAATTTCTGAGTTAGTATAATAATGAAATTTGAGTCAGCATAATGAAATTTGAAATTATGCTAGCTGAAATTAGTGCTGGATTACTGATGGAGCTGGATAACTGATTGATGGATTAGTGATGGCCGACCTGTACTAAAGGAGCAATAAATCCAACATGGAAATGCAAAGGATATTTTTTCTTTTAACGAATTACAACCTTATGGAAAATAATCAAATTCTTGTCATATATTTAATATTGCACATGCATAGGCAATCTTTTTATATTTTTTTCAATATTATACAGTAAATGCTCTGTTATCTGGACTAATTACGGCAGGGATATGATTAAATATACATTTTTTTGTACTGGCTAAAAAAAAAAAAAAAAAAAAAAAGGAATTTGATTAGTACAAGTGAAAAAACTGTGTATATATACTCTATCAATGCCAAAATTGCAAAGAAATTGTTAAATTTTAATATAAAAGTTAAGGAAACAGTCTTATTTTACCTAACTGCAAACTTTAGACAAGTCATTAGTGTGGCAACACTGACTAGATAGTACATATATACTATTATCTTTTAAATTAGACTAACCCATACTGGTTTAGCCCCTCTTGGTATGAGTACTACTCCTTGGTGGGTTTTGGCTATTATAGTTTGAACTTTACAATATCAAGTTAGTTTTGTAGTTACTTTTTTTTTTTTTTTTTTTTTTTACCCTAACAAAAAAATAACTAAACCTAACTTCCTTATTCTGCCATTAGTAGATATGCATCTTTACAGTAAGCCAGGCATGTGACAACTCAATGTTAAGTGCTGACTGGGCCAGACATCCTGTGCATTTAAGATGTACTATTTTTGTTAACATCTCCCAAAATAATTTGCATCAAAAATCCTTTTATATTCCATGGTATACATAGGTTGTATGTATTGTAAAATGTAAACTAATACCCAAATTTTGCCTAGTAGTTGGGAACTATAACCACAAATTTTTGTGAATATAATGAAAGTCAGCATATTAGGGGCTCCGAAGTAATGTTTACATGCACTATCGATACCTTGAAACCTAAACAAATTTTTGGGGGGAAAGGGGGGAGAGGGGAGAGAGGGGGGGAGATTTTTTTTATTTACATTAATTTTGCTAATGAATGATTGCAACTACTACCAAGTGCAAGTCATTCATTATTAGACTAATCATTTCTAACTTCCCTGGCAAGAGGGTAGTCAGAAGAATGCATTGTCTGTGACAAGATATTGTCTTATTCAGTTATAAATTATAATTATAACCTTTACACATTTAATTTTTGCTCTAAAACATAAGCACAGGAGAGGGTGAGGCAAAAGTGGCCAGCTAAGGCTTACACTACAAGGTTTGTGCAAGTCCATCTGAGAAAACCTACCTCAAGGATAAAAAAAAAATCATCTTCATTAGCTTCAAATATATTGCCAAAGAAAAATGTATCTGGAACTTCATGTAATATTTAGTTTGACTGAATACAGTGGACCCCTGGTTTTCATCCTTAATCCATTCCAGAAGGTGGGTCAAAATCCAAAATGGACGAAAGCCAAAGTAATACACATTTCCCATAAGAAATAATGTAAATCCAATTAATCCGTTCCAAACACCCAAAAGTATTAACAAAAACTACATTTTATAGAGAATAACTATAGTTTTACATACAGAAAACAACGAGAAATACAGCCTCTCCTCACTTAACGATGGAGTTCCGTTCCTAAGACCACATCAGTAAATGAATTTGTTGGTAAGTGAGGAGCATACTATAATGGTAGTGGGTTTGTGTCAACCATCACTGATATTGTTTTAATGTCACCTTTGCACCGTTTATAAAATTTCTGGTATATTTTTAAATATTTATTAAGTAGTGTACTGTACAGGTCTCCCTCAACATTTGCAGGGGTTAGGGGATCAAGAGCCTTGCGAATGTTGAAAAATCGCGAATGTTTGGTGCCCCAGTATATTGTAGGGAAATCTAATACAATACTGCTTCCTTAACCCATTGAACCATGAACAATCATAAAACAAATGAAAACATCATAAAATATGTATTGTATATACATACATGCTCCTCCCACTCGTATACTTGTCCAATCTCTTTTTAAAGCTACCCAAGGTCCAATCGAAGCTAAAATCTTGGGTAGTTTCAAATTTAGGTTGGATAAATACATCAGTGAGAGGGGTTGGAACATAAGAACATATGAACATAAGAAAGGAGGAACACTGCAGTAGGCCTCCTGGCCCATACTAGGTAGGTCCTTCAAAATCCATCACATTAACAGAATATTTTTCCCTACTCAATTTTCAATGCTACCCAAGCTAAAACCTTGGGTAGTTTCAAATTTAAGTTGGATAAGTACATGAGTGAAAGGGGTTGGATTTGAGTGGGACTTGCACGTGAGTAAATAGAATTGTCAATGCTAATTGCTTGGGTAGTGTTTATTCTGCAGTGTTCCTCCTTTCTTATATTCTTATTGCTTGAGTAGCATTGAAAATTGGGGTGGGCAAATATTCTGCTAGTGGGATGGATTATGAAGGACCTGCCTAGCATGGGCCAACAGTCCTACTGAATATCAAAATGGCATGGAAATAAATGGTATAAAATACCGACACAATGGAAATATAAGCACACATGCAGTATGTGATCCTTTATTGGCAATGTTTCGCCCACACAGTGGGCTTTTTCGAGTCACAAACAGGTAGATCTGTTTGTGACTTGAAAAAGCCCACTGTGTGGGTGAAACGTTGTCAATAAAGAATCACATTATACTGCATATGTGTTTATATTTCCATTAAAATGGCATACAATACCAACAGGTTGGTAGGTAAGACACATGGGCAACAATTAGGCAACCTTATTTCCAAACGCTTTGCCTACACAGTAGGCTTCTTCAGTCGAGTACAGAAAATAGGCAGGAGCAGTAGAGATATAATGATGTAATCAGTCCATCACCCTAAGCGACAGTGTGGAGACTTATACTGTCGGAAGGAGAGGTGTAGGCTGGTAGAAGAGGTCATGTCCCTCTCAGATCAAACGATTCTCACTTGAAAAAGTTGTCCAAGGTGTTTTCTCTTCTGTACCAAGATGCCTTTATGTTGCAGTGTCTGACAGAGTGAATATCAAAATGGTATATACAGTGGTCCCTCAATTATCGTCCATAATCCTTTCCTGGAAGTGGGACTATTATCGAAATAGACTATTTTCGAATCAATTTTCCCCATAAGAAATAATGTAAATACAATTAATCTGTTCCTGACACCCAGAAGTATTAAACAAAAAAAATTTTTACATGAAATATAGATGTAGTACATAAACAATACAATGGCACATGATGAATGAAACATTAACAGCATAACACTTACCATTATTGGCAATTCTTCTTAGTGTATGGAAGACTGGAGGAGGAGAGACATTGATTTAGTGTTTGGAAGGGGAATCCCCTTCCATCAACACCTCAGGTACCAAGTGCTTTTCTGGGGTTACTTCTCTTCTCTGTTTTTTAATGCCACTAGGACCAGCTTGAGAGTCACTGGAGTCCTGTCTCGCAAAAAACTGCCCAGAGAGCTCTGTCTCTGGCGTCTCTTTAAAACTTCCCTAAAATGGGCCAAGACTCTCACTGTACAAGTTGCCGATATGGCTTGCAGCATCCTTCTCAGGGTGATGTTTCTCCATAAATCTTTCCATCCTACCCCACATTTCAAAAATCTCCTTAATTTCTGAAAAGGCACCTTCTTCCATCTCTCTTCCTCCTCCTCTGCAGCAAGATTCTGAGCTGCGATCTGTTGCTCTTCCTGCTGAAACTCTTGCTTTCATATTGTTCAATGATGTTTTTCTTAAATTCAGTCGTATTTCTCACCTTTACCAAAGGTCTGGCACTAGGAGCTTTCTTTGGAGCCATGGTAGCTTATTTAGCACTTGCAAGCACTAAAATGAATGGAATATTATGAAATATTTTGTATGAACACGTGAGGGGACCGTCGCTCACTGGTAAACAATGGCACACTGGGTGGGAACGGCTCGGAGCCGTGAGTATACGTCCAGGACAAAAGACGATTAGCGAGTTAACAGACCATTTGCGAGCCAATGTTTAGACGAAATAACAGGACTATTTCCGAAATGGACGACTTTCAGGACGGACGATTATTGAGGGACCACTGTAATACCAACAGGTTGGCAGTTAGGTGAAACGTTTAGAAATAAAGTTGCCTAACTGTTGCCCATGTCTCTTACCTACCAACCTGTCGGTATTGTATACCATTTTGATATTCACTCTGTCAGATACTGCAACACAAAAGCATCTTGGTACAGAAGGGAAAGCACCTTGGACAACTTTTTCAAGTGAGAATCGTTTGATCCGAGAAGGACGTGACCTCTTCTACCAGCCAGCACCTCTCCTTCCAACAGTACAAGTCTCCACACTCCACACCTGTTTGTGACAGAGTCACACCTAGACACACACTCAGTTCACGGAGTACGCTACCTTATCACTAGATAGGCACATGGCTTCTGCCGAAA